GGTGCATTATTACCAACAGTGCTTGGTTATTGCCAACAATCCTTGTCTGTTATTACCAACAATCCTTGGTTGGCTTCAGAGCCACACACACATCAGCCCCTTATGCCCCCCTGGGCACCAGGACCCTGCACCACTCCCTCCCTCCTTCCCAGCAGGGTCCTGCCAGCCCATTCCCAGCCCCTCTGGGCATCAGGACTGTTCAGATCCCACCCTGAACTCCAGCCTGGTGGGACACATCCCATCTGTCATGGGGGGATCCAGCACCAGGTTGTGCAGCAGGTCCGACCTCCTGCCCTGCTGGTGCCCTTGCACTGTTCCTACTGTTGCCTGGTTTGTGCCACCTTCCCAAACTGAGCCAGTTCCCAGTGTTTTCTCAGCGTTTCTCCTACTCACAACCTGCTGTGCTTCCTCTTTCCTTTTGAGGCCAAGCCAGAGACAGGCTCTCCTGCCACAGAGAGGGCGGCGGGTGGGCTTTGCCTCGTGCAAATCCTCTTCCCCAAACCACAGCCTGGGTCCCCTCAAAGCAGAGAGGGGGACAGAAGGAGGGGGCTGCAGCCATCAGTTCCCACTCCTGCAGCTCCTGCACACCCAGGACCCGCTCCCAGGAGGTGCCATGGAGGGAGAGGTGGATAATCAGCAGAATGTGGTGAAGCTGGTGGCTGTGTTTGAAGAGCACTGGTAAGGAGGGAGGGTTCTGGGTGCTGAGGGTGTGTGTGGGCTCCACGTGGAGTGGGTTTTGGAAGGAAGAAACCCACCGTGGAGGCGGTTTGGAGGCTGTGGAGAAGTTGACAAGGTGATTTGTTATTCTTTATCACTCTGTCTTCCTCCCGCTGTGGGTCATGAACAGAAGCCTGAAAACCTCAGTGGCATGTGAGTGACTCTGCCTGGCTCAGGTTGTGGCAGCCTGTTCCCCCCACACTCAATACTGACTGGTGAATCCTTTTGCTGCTGCTGCTGCTGGGGAAAAGAATTGTGGTTTGCAAATATATAGACAGGGGTCTTCTTCCTCTGGGAATTAACTGCCTGGGTGTCTGGGAGGATCCCAGCCTCAGACTGTGCAGTTGTTTGCAGAGGTGTGGCTCCTAGGAAAGGGAAGGTAAAGCGTTGTGTTAAGGGGGAGAGCAAGTGCCTTTTGTAAAACAGCACCATTACTTGGAGTGTGACCTGGGACCCTCAGACAGTGTGGTTCTGGGGTTGGAGTGAAGAGATCTGCCCTGATTCTGGTGTAAAAGGAATACTGAGGCTTGAGGTGAGTTATTGTTAAAGTCTGTGCCTCAGTTTCTCCATCTGTTGAATCAGGGTACAGAATCCTGCCTTTCCTTGTCCCCATGAGGTGCTCTCAGTGAGCATTAATGGGGCTGCATGGTTGGGCAGGTGAGTTTTACAATTCCTAGAGTTGCTCAGGCACAGGATTTCCTTTTACTCCAAGAACTTTGCCTGCATCTCCTCTGGTGCTTTTCCCAGGATTTGTGGTTGTCCCCATCAACCCCCATGATGTTGTGTTGGAACTGCTGCAGGGTTTGATCTGCCTCCACATCACTGCTGCAGAGTGTTTGTTGTTTATCATGGAGTGTGAGTTTGATTTAGAGGAAATAAAAGTAACTTGGGACTTTCAGAGGAAGCTGGGGAACCTGGGAACGAGTTTTCTGGAACAGAAAATGATTTGGCCCAAGTCAGCACAAACAGAAAGAGAGAAGTTCCCTGTGGGAGCTCTGCAGTGGGTTTAGGCTGACACAGGTCTGGGAGGCACTGGGAGAGATGGATAAAGACTCTGTCTCTGAAGGGTTCTGCCAGTCCCCTTGGACAGGAGGGGATGTGTGCATGGCTGTGGATGCACTCCTGAGCTCACAGACCTGTGCTTGGGAGGGAGGACCCAACATCATCTTCAGATGAATCTCTACCCCTCAAGTCACCTCCTATCCTCAGTTTTGCAGTTCTATGTCCGGTTTCACACAGGTTTTTCTGTCCTCATCCCACTCCTGTCTGCAGACCCACAGTGGATCTTTCCAGTTTATGCCCAGGGCAGTTTCCTACAGGGACCAGCTCTCGGATGACAGACAGCTCACTGTCACCTTTACAGCCTGGCTTCTCTCCTGTACCTGCTCTTTTCCCTTTGCCAGAAAAGGAAAGAGAAAACACGACCAAAAAACAACCTGTCTGCAAAACCACCTACACAAGCCCTGCTCTTGGCTATTGGGCTTCTCCCCACTTTGGATCTGCAGTGCCAGAGCTGTACCTGGGAAATAATTGGATATGCCTGGGATAAACAGCAGAATCCTGCTTTTCTAGAGCAGGACAGGAACCAGCCACAGCAGCAGGAGGCACTGGGAAAAAAAGAAGCTGGATCCTGGCCCCATGGGGGGGGCTGGAGCAGAGCAGAGCAGTGGCAGTGCCAGGGAGCTGCTGCTCTTGTCACCTTTGCTCGAGGATGGTGGCTTTGAGCTGGGCCTGGGAGCTCGGTGGGAGAACGAGTGAGCTGATCACGCTGATTCCTTTGTAGCAGGGACAGCAAATTTGCCTGGAGGGATAACCAGGCTCCTCACAGCCAGACCACTGCTGCAGCCAGCCAGCCCCAGCAGCTTCCAGCATCCCCTGCCCGCCGGAGCCTCTCCCCAAGGGCTGCCAGGCTCCAAGGGGAGCAAGAGCAGGAGGAGGAGCAGCAAGGTCAGCATGGACTCAGCTTCAAATGCCTCCGTTCTTTGAGACACAAAATCCGTGAGGACAACTGGAGGAGGCCCCAGGGCCCAGGGCTGGAGCCTGGCAAGGAGGTGAGCTCTGGAGGTGGCTCAGGGGACCCTGGTGGGTGCCCATGCTCAGGCATGGAATTGCCTGAGCTGGCTCAGAGCTTGGGGTCACATCTCCCACTCCATACAGGAACCAGAGGAAAAGAAAATCGCTCTGGAGCTGCTGGAGACAGAGCAGGCTTATGTCAACCGCCTCCACCTCCTCGACCAGGTGAGCTGGGCAGTGGAGGGGCCCACGCAAGGAGATTTTGGAGAGGGTGAAGGTGTACAACAGAGACACAAGTGGGCTGCTGGTCTTCTTGGCCAGGGATTTGGTCTGGCCTTTGCCTTTCCTACACCCCCCATTTCCATGGAGCACCCTTGTCCCATCAAAGCCTTCCTGCTGCTTCTCTCTTGGGGCCTGGGATTTCCCCCCTGCACAGAGTCAGGCCTTTCACTGAGCCATGTGCCAGTCTCAGAGAGGGAATGGGATCCTCAGGCCTCTTCCTGGCCCTTTTTGTTCACCCCTGCTTTCTTCCAGGTGTTCTACACAGAGCTGATGAAAGAAGCCAAAACTGGAAAGACGGTCCCAGAGGAGGTGGTGAAAATGATCTTCTCCAACATCTCCTCCATCCACCAGTTTCACTCCGAGTTCTTCCTGCCAGAGCTGCTGAAGCGCATGGAGGATTGGTGAGCTCAGGAGGACACCTGGAGGAGCGCTGAGTTTGGGCTCCCACCAGGACCAGAGCTCGGCCTGCTTTGCTCCAAATGTCTTTGTGCTGGAAAGCACTTCCTTAAAACACTCAGATCAGAGTATTTCTGAAAAGTGGGGGTGACATCTCAGGTGGTTTTAGGATGTGCCCAGGTGTGAACAGCCCAGACTGGCTGCAAGCTGGGGACATTCTCATTCTGGAGAGCAGGAAGTTGTGTGGGGATGTAGCAGGTTGCAGCAGTACAAATGTTAGTAGAAGAGTTAGGAACTGGCACAGGTTGCCCAGAGAAGCTGTGGGTGCCCCATCCCTGGAAGTATCCAAGGCCAGCTTGAATGGGGCTTGGAGCAACCTGGGCTATTGGAAGGTGTCCCTGCCTGTGGCAGGGGGTGGAATGGGGTGACCTTTAAGGTCCCTTTCAGCCCAAACCATTCTGGAATCCTATGAAACCACCACACCCCTTTGTTTGATCCCTCACTGTCTGTCTGCCCCGACGCACTGAGGAAGCTGTGGTTCCCTCCTGCAGGAACTGCAACCCCCGGATTGGGGATGTGATCCAGAAACTTGCACCATTCCTCAAGATGTATGGGGAATACGTGAAGAACTTCGACAAGGCCGTGGAGCTCATCACTGCCTGGTCAGAGAAATCCCCGCCCTTCCAGGAGCTCATTGCTGACATCCAGGTGAGGGCAGGGTGAGGGACCACAGCAGTGCTCCCCAAAATCTCCTTGCATGGAGGGAGCAGCAGAGGGTAGGAGCTGCCTTGGTCACTGTTCCTCTCTCCGTGCCTGGTGTCTCTCCCCAGAAGAGGAAGGTCTGTGCTAATCTAACGCTGCAGCACCACATGCTGGAGCCTGTGCAGAGGATCCCACGCTACGAACTCCTCCTGAAAGATTATGTCCGGAAACTGCCGCCTGAGTCCCCCGACCGGGGCGATGCCGAGAGTAAGGGCTCGGTCTGGCTCACCCTGGGGAGTGGCAGGGTGGGTTTGTAGGGGAAATAACAATCCCTGGTGTTGTACACAGGCATCAGAATACCTGGATTCACTCACCAGCTGCCCTGAGCTCTGATAAACCTCTCAGTCTGATCTTTTTCTGCCAGAGAGAGGGATTAATCTGCCCTTCCAGGGGCTGTGGAGGTCAGTGAGGAAGGGTGGTTTCAGGATAAGAGTGGTCCGCCCAGAGCATCCCCTAGGGAGACCTGTAGAGCTCTCAGACCCTTGGAGATAACACAGTTCCCAGTCCTGCTGGGATGGAGGGATACAGGACTGTCTGTCTGTCCTCCCAGGACCCCACCACGCACAGTCTGGCCATACCTGGACTCGTTTAGCATTTTGGGGCCGTTTGGGTTGGGTCCAGGGGAAGGCAGCAGCCACCACACATATGCATCCATGAGGGACAGACCCAGGAGCTTCCTCCCACAGCTCCAGAGCAGGTGTTTAACCTCCAGCCTGTCTCTTCTCTTTGCAGAGGCCCTGGAGATGATCTTTATGGTGGCCAAGCACTCCAACGCAGCTATCGCCGAGATGGTGAGTGCCTGCCCCAGCTGGAAGTGCTTTGCAGCTCCTGAATGGGACAGGAGCACTGTGGGTTCAGCACAGGAGCTGAGACCCTGCTCTTGATGCCTGACCCCATCACCCTGAGCCTGGGGAATCATGTCTGTAACATCAGTGATGTGACCAGCTGGGATTTGCTCCCAAAGACGAATCTGGGCTGAGAGAGCAAGTGCCACCTCTCCCAGTTATCAGCAGCTGGCTTGGGAGGTGGGGAGCAGGGGAATCCAGGGGTGGCAAGGTTGTGGCTGCTCATCAGCCCACAAAACCAGGTCCCTCTGCCTCCCCAGGAACGGCTGCAGAACCTCTGGGTGGTCTATCAGCGGCTGGGCCTCGAGGATGACATTGTGGATCCCTCCAACCAGCTGATCAAGGAGGGACCCATCCAAAAAGTCTCCACCCGCAACAACAGCACGTCGGAGAAGTACCTGTTCCTGGTGGGAGCTGGGATGCCCAGGGGAAGGGGAGGGAGCAGATAAGATGGGAATGGGGGCAGAGGCAGCACAGCCTGGCCTGGGTGCTGCTGGGTCATCTTGGCACAGAAGGGATGAATTCAGAGGTTGGAGATTTGACCCTACTCAATGCAGGGCATCCTGTGAAGGATGTGTTTGGGAATCTACTGATCCCATGGGCAAGGCAGCCCTGGGAGGTGCCTCTCTCACCTCTGTAGGGTGGGAGAGGGCTGGGGCAGAAACAGTCATGTTTTAGGCGGATTCTTCTCAAGGACCAGCTCAGGCTTGGGAGATCTGATCCCCCAGATCCCAGGGAAGCCCTCAGCTGGGAGCAGGCAGGTGCTCAGCTCCAGCCCATCCCTCTCCCTGCTCCCAGTTCAACAACATGCTGCTGTACTGCGTGCCCAAGGTCATCCAGGTGGGCGCTGAGTTCCAGGTCCGCCTCCGCATGGACGTGGATGGCATGAAGGTCAGACAGGCACCTTGTCTTTGTGCTTCCCCCAGACCCTGACTCCTCCAAAAGCACCCCAATTTGGAGTGTAACATGGCTGCTGCCCCTCACTTCCTCAGGAAGGAGGGAGGAGCTGGAGCCAGGGGGGGCTTGTGGGTGAGGTTGGTACACTCTGATCCTGCGAAATGCCAGTGAAATCTTGTGCATGTGGGATCTGAAGGGCTTGTGCCCGAGGGACATCCCTGTGCCTCACATCATGGAGGAAGGTCTCTGTGTGTGGGAGGTGGCTTCAGCTCCACATCCCTTCTCTGGTGTCTGGCAGGTGTGGGAGCTGAAGGACGCAGAGTTCCCTCACACCTTCCTGGTGTCGGGAAAGCAGCGGACGCTGCAGCTGCAGGCCAGGTAAGGGGGAAGGGGGACCTCACCCAGACCCTCAGGGAGCAGGGACAACAGCTTATCCATCTCCCTTTTGTATCCAGGTCTGGGGAGGAGATGGACGCCTGGATCAAGGTACCACCAAGTGCTGGGAGTGGTGGCACATCTGCCTCATCCCAGCGGGATGCTCTGTGTCAGGGCAGCCCCCAGCTGCCCCTCCAGCCCTGCCTTTCCCTCTAGGCCTTCCAAGATGCCATTGACAGGAAGGAGAAGAGAAGTGAGACCTTTAAGACAGCAGTACCTGGACTGGAGACAGACACCCCTGCACTGAAGGTACCCTCCTGCTCTCCCCATGCCCCCTGCACAGAGCCCACCTTGCTGTGCCTCAGTTCTCCTCGCCAAACCGAGCTGGGGGGAGGCTGTGGATGGGGAGAAGGGCTGAGGAGAGGAAGGGGTAAGAGCAGAGGGCTGGGAGCACCCAGAGCACGGCTGGCCAGCCCCACTGATGCAGCCCCCCACCCTCAGACAGAGGAGCTGGGCCGCCGAGCTCCGCAGTGGGTGCGGGACAACCTGGTGACGATGTGCATGCGCTGCAGGGAGCCCTTCAACGCCATCACCCGCCGGAGACACCACTGCCGAGCCTGTGGATACGTGAGTCACCCCTCCCCTCCTTCCCCTCCCTCCTGGCCTGCTCAGGTGGCTGCTGGGGCAGGACCACACCTCTCCTACACCGTGTATCCCTTTCCCCCCCAGGCTCAGGGCTGCTCCCGCCCCTCAGCTCCTCACGGAGCTGTCCCTGGATCCCCCAGTCTCAGCGGTGTCCCTGTCTGTGGCTGCAGGTGGTGTGTGCTCGCTGCTCTGACTACAAGGCTGAGCTGCAGTACGATGGGAACCGCCTGAACCGCGTCTGCCAGGAGTGTTACATCTTCCTAACGGGCCACGCGGTGCTTGAGGACCGGGAGGGGAAGCACAAAGGCATCCTGGAGGTGAACTCTGCCCCCCTCTGTCCCTCTGAGCTCTGCCACCCACCCTGGTCCCCAGCATCGCTGTCCCAGCCTGGCCCTGCACCTGCAGCAGGAGGGGTGTGAGTCACTCCCACAGCAGTCAGAGGGAGCATGTGCTGAGCTCCATCCTGCTCCAAGCCCAGGGACCCTCAACAGCCAGAGCTCCCTTCACCACGGGATCTCAGCAGCACCCTCACAGCCAGGACAGCCCCCTCTGCTTTTGGGAGTTTGGTGGAGTGGGTGGGGAATTCCCTAGGAAATGGCCTTGGCTCGGTGCCCTTTCTGCCTCCTGCACTGTGTATTGAGAGATTTGTTGGGGTTTTTTTTGGCAGAAAGGAGCTGCAGAGGTATCAAGCAGGAGTTTGCTCTGCAGTTCCCTGCAGCTGCTGGACAAGAACGGCAAGGGGGGGACGCGGGGCTGGTTTGTGATCCCGCAGGACGATCCCCTCGTGTTGTACGTCTACGCAGCCCCCCAGGTAAGGCCGGGCTGGGATCCATCCTCAAGGGACATCCTGCTGTGCCCACCCCCTGCCTCCCACCACTGTCTGTTCTTGGCAGGACGTGCGAGCCCACACCTCCATCCCCCTCCTGGGCTACCAGGTGAAGGACCTGCCCCAGAGCGACTCCCGCCACCTCTTCCAGCTGGCGCAGTCACGGCAGGTCCACACCTTCCTGGCCGACACTGAGGAGCTGAAGCGGCGCTGGATGAGGGCCATGGCACGCTCTGCCGCAGGGATCACACACCCAGAGGATGATGAGGAGGATGCAGACCCCTGTGACAAAGCAGAATGAGGCCATTCCCACCCCTGGGCCGCCTGGGGAGTCGCCTCCCCAGCCTGTCCTCGCCGCTGGCTTCATGCAGACCCCCGACATCTCCGCGTTTGGGTTTTCATCATGACAAGGACAAGCCGGGGGCACATTTGCCGCCACACGGACAAGCCGGATTCCCCTTGCCCTCCCTCCTTGCTCTCCGCACTGGACGGAATGAGGTGGAGGGATGGGGGGGTTTGGGGAGGCCTCGCCCCTGCAGCCCCTGTGCAGTACCGCCGGTGGCCACGCGAGGGCAGCCCCGCCCCGTCCTTGCTCCATCCCGGCGCGGGGGATGCCCGGAGTGGTGGAATGTGTGGAATTGGGATTGCTGGGATAAATCCCGCCTGCGACCCGTCTCTGCGGTCCCTGCAGCCTTCTTTGGGGGTGTATTTTCCATGGGATTGTCCCCATGCCTCCACATCGCCGTATCTGTCACCAGCCCTGGTCTGATGCCCTGCAGGGACCCAGCTTGTGGCTCACCCACACAGCTCAGGGACCCCAGTGCTGGGTTCAGGATGTCCCCTCCCAGCTTGTCACCACTCCTGGGCTCACACTGCTGCAGTCCCATGGTGTGGGTGTTCCTCTTTACCACAGACACCCCTCACCTGCATCACCAAGCCATTCCACACTCCTGCCCATACCAGACTTTCCCTTCACCCCCTCCTGTCCACAAGCACTTTCCACCCTTGTACCTCCCTCAGTTACTTGTTTCCTGAAGCAAAACACTCTGGGACAAGGTTGTGTCCACACAGGTGCTGCTGTGATGCTGAGGAGACACGGGGGATCCCCTTCTCCATTGTCATCATAACGAGCACCCCTAGTTGTTTCACACAGCACTTTAGGCTGCAGCCCCACATTTTTCTCTCTGCATCATCTTTAGCTCCCCAAGAATGTTGCCTGGGCAGAAGTTGCCACTTCTGAGCCTGCCAGGGGCTGAAATGGGACACAGGAATCCATGGAGCTGGAGGAGCCCATAACTCTGGCAGGGAGGGAGGGCTGTCCTTTGCAGGCAGGGGTTGCTGCCTGAGCCTGGACCACACAGCAGCTCCAGCACAGCAACTTTGGGCAGAGCCCAGGGGTGCCACAGACTGAACAGATCCATGGAGACAGGGAAGGGAAGGGAGCTGGAGCAGGATACTGCAAATGGGGACATCTCTTGGGGAAAGCATGTGGAATAAAGGTGGATGGGGGGCCTCAGAGAGACAGGAAAAAGCTATGAGCATCATCCTTCCTCCATCTACCCAGCTCAGCTCATCCTGGGAAAGGGCAGACCATGGTGGTTTTATCTCCTCCAGCTCAAGAGATCCCATCAAGGAAGAGGGAGAGGAGCTGGATGTCAGGGCAAGAGCTCTGCCAAAGCAGTTGCCCCTCAGGGTGCCACCCAGCATGAGGCTGAGCCCAGAAGAAGCAAACAATGCAGGGCCTTCCAGGGACACCCCAAAACAGCCCTCGTGGGAAGGGGAAACCCCACCAACACCGGAAAAGCCCTGGAAAAGCTGCTGGGGGGGAAGAGTGAGCAAGGGGAAGCCCACAGGGCTGGCAGGCTCTGCGTGGTGGCCCTTGGTGTGGCGTCACCCCTGTGTCAGTGAGGAACAAAACAAGCCCAGAGCAGGGACCTGCCCTCAGCCCTGAATGGGCCTAAGAATAGATTTCCTGTTTACCCAGGGAGGAATTGCTCCTGGGGCAGAGGGCACCTGGGGGCTATTTTTACCAGCTCCTGCCCTCCTCCTTCCTGACCCCCAGCACCCTTGGGGGGACCCATGTGTGCCACAGGAAAGGGGCTGTCAGGAAAGAGAGGTGGCCTGGGGGCAGAGGGGGTGACAGGGCACCAGGGCAGGTCACTGCCATGGCTTTGGCATCGTGCCTTACTCAAAGATGGGGAGACAGCATCGCTTGCTGCCCTGAGTATCCATAATCTCTCGGTGGAAGACCAAATTCACAGGGGGTATCATGGTGCCCTCATTCTGCTTTCCTAGAAAAAAACCCCAAACAAACAAAAAAACCCGAACAAACAAACAAAAAAAAAAAAAAAAAAAACCCCAAAAAAAAAAAAAAAAAGGGGGGGAAAAAAGGTGGTTTTTGCACCCAAGAAATGCAGAGAACACACTGATGAATTTGAATTTGCTCTCCCCATCCTTTCTCAGTCCCCTGCAGTGATGGTCAAGCGGAGCAGTTTGGCCTCTCCCCTCCCCCTGCAGAAAGTGAAACCCGGAGCAGAAGTCACAGTTTCCTATTCTCGAGAATGGGGAAGGCTCGGAGGCCACTTACTGGAATCCCCCCCGCGGCCCCCCCAGCGCCTCTTCTCGTAAGCACTGACCAAAATACGCTGTGAAACCCACACAGGCTGTGCTGGCAGCACCCAGGCACCCATCACTGACAGCACCCAGGCACCCATCACTGACAGCACCCAGGCACCCATCACTGGCAGCACCCGGACACGGGGAACAGGCACCTGTGCAGCTCCTGCTCTGCTCATTGTCCCACGCTCATCCCAAATCCCATCCACGCTGTGGGAAGGGGGATGCAAAGATGTTCAAGGGCATGAGCGAGCAGGGAGGTGGCCATCAGAGACAGGGACAAGGGGGGTGCATTGTGGACCCCCCTGCAGGGCTCTGTAGGGTTCAGTCACTCCCTGCTCCCCCAGGAAGGGGCTCAACAGGGCCTAGAACTGGTGCCCCCCAGGTGTGGGGTGGGATCAGAACCATAGGGACCTATAGAATCCCACACTCCCAGCCTTCAGGACTGCTCTAGGAGCTGCTCTGTGGCGTGAGGGCTCTTGATCTACAGGGACAGGCCCTATATGGGGTTCTCTACATGGTAGGCATCCCTTTTCTATAGGGACTGCTCCATTGGGCGTATTCTCTTGTTTCTTAATTGCAATTCTCTCTGCACTCTTCTCTGTGGGATGGGGTTTTATGGTCTTTAGGGGTTTGTATATCTGGGGCAGCAGCTTTTGCCCTACAACACCTGGATTTCTGTTGTACAGGATCTGGGCTCCATAGGGGCCAGCCCCCCGTGACAGGAGCTCTTGCTCTGGAGGTGTTGGGCTCCACAAGTGTGTCCCCCGTGCTCTGACCTACAGGGTCCCTGCTCCAGGATGTGCAGCCCCTGGGGCCACGAGGCAGCACATCCCTCACTGTGGGACGTGGAGCAGCACATCCCTCAGTGTGAGATTTTGGGCAACACAGACTTGCTGTGGGATTTTGGGCAGTACATCCCTCTCTGTGGGATTTTGGGAAGCACAGCCCTTGCTGGGGGATGTGGGGCAGCACATCTCTTGCCACGAGACCGTAGGGCAGGATGGCCCCCACTACGGGATTTTGGGCAACATGGACCTCACTGTGGGGCCATGGGGTGGCACATCCCTTGCCATGGAATTTTGGGCACCACAGCCCTCTCTGTGGGGCCTTGGGGCAGCACAGCCATCGCTGGGGGATTTTGGGCAGCACAGCCCTCTCTGTGGGGCCATGAGGCAGCACATCCCTTAACATGGGACCACAGGGCAGCACAGCCCTCGCTATGGGACCATAGGGCAGCACATCCTTGCTGTGGGATTCTGGGCAGCACATCCCTTGCCGTGGGACCATAGGGCAGCACAGCTCTCGCTGTGGGATTTTGGGCAGCACAGCTCTCGCTGTGGGATTTTGGGCAGCACACCCCTTGCCGTGGGACCGTAGGGCAGCACAGCTCTCGCCGCAGCGCCGCGGCACCGGAGCTGCAGCAGCTCGTCCTCTCCCCACCGCGCAGCCTCTGCAGCCCACCAGGGCTTCCGCTGCTCCCGCCGAGCGCTTTAAATAATGAATATACCGAGGTCGGAGACAGACACAACACAGCCCTGCCCGGAGCATCACCCCCCCGGCCCCGCCGTGCCCGGGGCTGCGGGGGCACGTGGGACTCCCGCGTCCCCTGAGGGTGGGGACACCCCCTGGGGGGGGGGATTTAAGGATGGGAGATGATGCTGAATGATGCAAAATATCTGTGATCCCACCCAAAAAAACCCCTGCAGCCAGGATTGTGTAACCTCAGGACTGGGGTACGCCTATCCTGCTCTGCACCCCCTTTTAGAAGCAATTCTCCCCTCATGGAGCAATTCCAAACAGGAGGGGGACCCCAGGATCCCCCCCAGCCGCACCCCATTTTTGCATTGCACCGGCAGGACCTCGCTGTCGGGGTGTCCCCACTCTTTGGGGGAGCTTAGGGTTGGGGGGGGAAGCTTCCACCTCCTTTTGGGGAGCCCCCGCAGCTGCCGGCGAAGGGCGGTTCGTGCAGCTGAGGAGCAGGTCGTGCATCCCGGCGTCTGGAGAGGCGGGAGGTGTTTCCCGGTGGCGCAGGAATTTGCTGTTTGCGCCTGTGTTGCAGGAGGTTGGGGGAAGGAAGAGGGGGGCGGAGGTGGGGAGGGGAAGCTGGCAGTTGTTATTATTTAATTTTATTTTCCTGCCTCCATCCAGGAATCTCTGCAATGTGCCGGCTGCTCGCGGGGAGGTTGGGGTGGCCGTGAGTCACTGCTGCCGCTGGAACGTGACTCAGTCCTGCTGCTCTCCCGGCAGGACATGACCAGACTGCCAAAACCCGGGAGAAGCCCCAGATCCGACGCCTGCCCGCGCCGGTGGGCGAGGACACGCGAAATCCCCCCCGAGAGCTCAGCCCCCCGCTCCCCACGGGGATGGGAACCCCTCACCAAGGGGCAGAGCTCAGGCTGGGGGGCAGAATGGGCTCCTTTTTTTTTATTATTTTATTTTTTATTTTTATTTTATTCTATTTTTCCCCAGCCAGGAAAATCCTCTCCACCCACTCTGGCTCACCCATCCGTGGGGCGCCGTGGATCTGTGGAGATCTCCCAGGGGTTTTGCTTCCCCATCTTCCAGGCCCTATGGGTGAACAGGGAAAGCTCCTGCCACCGTTCCTGCCCCAGTTCCTGTGCCTCAGTTTTCCCAGTTGGTGGGGAGTGGAGATTTCCCCATCAGGGAGTGGAACAGGGGTTACTTTAGGTGGTGCTTTGAGGTCAGTGAATAGCAGCTGCGGGGGGTTATTATTAATATTAATTAATAGCTCAGGTGGTGGGGAGGGATGGGGGGACTGAAGCAGCCCTGAGTCACAGGGCAGGAGCAGGGGGTGGCCCAGCCCTGTCCTGAGCCCCAACACTCGCTGCACCCCAGGGCTGGGACAGCCAGGGGCTGCCCCACTCATCTCACCTGGGGCTGGATGAGCAGGGGCATGAGCCCTGCTCATTCTCATGCTCCTGCTCCATGTGGAAATGGGCTCCTGGAGCAGGAGAGCAGGAGAGGCGGCCACGGGGCAGCGCTGAGCACTGGGATGGTTGTGACACCTCAGGCCTCCACTGCCACAGCTGCCTCTGTCAGCCGTGATTGAAAGCCAAGCTGGGCTGGCAGGCCCTCTCTGTGATCTTGTTAATTAAGAAATACATTTAATTAGCAGCACCCCAGCTGTGACTCAGCTAATCATCATGATCGAAACAAGAGCTGGACTCCAGCGCCGGAGCACGGAACCACCAAACCCCCTCACCTGCCACGAGCCCCTGGCTCTGCTGTGGGACCCCACTGCCCACCAGGCACATCCCAGTGCCCCCCCCGGGGTTTTGGGCTGAGTTTCCCCCTGGGCTGGAGGCAGGTTGGAGCTGAGACTGTCCCCGTGCAGCACCTCACACACACACAGGGTGTCATCCCCACCCAGGGCAATTATCCATTGCCACACTGAGAATAATCATATTAATAACCCATTTACCAGGCTATAAATAGCCTTGATAATAACACCCTGGGTTTTCCAGGAACGGATTGTCAAAAATGTGGGGAAAGCCATTCCCTGTCTCCTGGGCTGCAGATGGGGAAACTGAGGCAGGGCTGGTTTCGGGCACCACTCTCTCCTGCTGCACTGAGCCGTCTGCCAGGCAGCTGTGGAATTTGCTCCCGAATAAACCGTCATGTAAATGAGCCCTTATGTATATTTATGGGCGCCGTCCTGCCAGCTGGAATCTAATAGGGGGGAAAATAAACTGGGAAACCGCCTGGTACAGGAGGGCGGCGCTTCACACATCGTCCCCACGCCCCGCTGGCACTGCTGGGGGGGTGTGTCTGTCTGTCCCTTGTCCCCAGGGTGTCTGTCTCTGATGCTGGGCATCCAGCTCTGCACCCTGAGGTGCCCAGCTCTGGTCAGGGATGCCCAGCCCTGGTCCTGGGTACCCACCCCCACACTCTGGGGAGCTCAGCCCTGGTCCTGGGCACTCAGCTCTGCACCCTTTGGTCCCCAGCCCTGGTCCTGGATGCCCAGATTCCCATGTGCCCGTATCCTGGGGTGTCTGGAAGCAGACACTGGGTGCTCTGCAGCTGCTGCAGGCTGCAGTGGGCTTTGGGGTATGGGAAATGGGAGTGGTGTTGCCAGCACTGGGTGAAACTCTGTCACATTTGGTGTCCCTGTGCTTGGTGGGGGGCTGGCACAAGGGGTCTCTCACTGCTCAGCAGGGCCTACGTGGCACCTCTGTGCCCAGAAGTCATGGTGGGTGCCCCTTCCTTGCTGTGCCAGTGACACACACATGTGCTGTGTGCACGTGTGTGCACGTATGAGCACGT